TAATCTTAAAGGATATAATAGTAAGAGTTATATTACATAACACATATACAAATGCCACCCTTATATCCAAATATACACCTCTCCTTGATATGCCACACTTATCTCATGGTACACCTCTCCTTGATATGCCACCCTTATCCCATGGTACAACTCTCCTTGATATGCCACCCTTATTTCCCCATCAAAATATTTCACAAAACAATTCCATATAGAATAGACCGTAGTCAATGGAATATCATTAGTTCAATATCATATTTATCAAAAATTTCCATTTCTTTAAATAAATCAATACAATAGTAAGTCAACACCTAATTCGGACAAAACCTTGGTCGGATTACAAATCCGGACAATACTTCACATTATGTCCGATTTAGCACTTAGCTTCTATTCTCAAAACTTTGTCCGGATTACTAATCCGGACAATACTATTCATACCGTGTCCGATTTAACAAACCAGATAACATGACCGTTTAAAATAAACCGGCCATCACATAGTCGTATTCCTACTTCTCCGTTCAAAACCATCAACAAAAGTTCAAAGTTCATAAATCGCTCAATGTCCAAATCGGTTAATACATTGGTCGATTTACCCTTAAACTGGGTGTAATCATGTCCAGTTTATGTCTAATCCAGTCAACACACTAGGCGGTTTAACCTTAAACCGCTTATGCTTTGTCCGATTTAAGCTCAAACCGCTCAATCCTTTGTTCGGTTTAATTTTAAATCTTTCAACTCTTGTCCGGTTTAATTCTAATCCAGACAACACTCAAGCGATTTAAACTCAAATTTAAACCGGGTGATAAGTTTTTAACACAATCAATTATGCAATTCAAAGAGATTCAAAAGCAATTTAACCACTCACCTTGAAATACTTTTGGAATCAAATTGAATCTACTTCTTGCTCCCAAAAATAATAATCCGGTCAACCTTCTTTCTCTCTTTTAAATCACTCAAATCTCCAAAGTAGCATAAAAAGAAAGAGTAGGGCAGCTAAAACCGCCTCCAACCATGCATCCATCCATGCATATCCTCATGCACACATGCACATAATTAAGCATACATTCACAATTGCATATTTACCTACATGTATGCATAAATATGTCATACATATAGATCATGCATACATATATATATATTATATGCATTTCACATTATGAATACAATCCCTTATGCATAAAATTTCACATATTTGCATGATCAAATATAACAATTTATCATGTTGTCACATAATCATTTAACAACTAATCACGTATTAATTACCTCAGGTGATAACCAGTATCCCGTTATCACATTTTTAATTACAAATAACAACATAATTAACATTTAATGAGGAAATTTTAGAATTTAATTGGAAGCAAGCAGTAACCGGTCGAAAGCATCATAAGCAGATCCCGTGTGACCACCTGCAAAACCTCCCATCTGTTAATCCTCATGTGATGTGACCCTCTTTACATCTCCGATCACTCGCCTTCTTCTTCTTCTTCTTCTCTCTCTCTCTCTCTCTCATATCTAGGCGACCCCCATTCTAAACCCCGCCTTTCTATGCTCTCATCTCCAGTTTCCCCTACCATGACCGTGCACTACAACTTTCGTCAGATATAGGTAATTAGACATCCAACCCGTAATCGCAACGACCCAATTGCAAGAGAATCCGTCGCTGTCTCGGCTGTGCTACCGGAGGCTCTGGGAAGTCGGAAATAGAAGTAAACATGTTAGTAACATAACCTTCTTGTAAAGCCGTATGAAATGCATAAAAGATGCCCGTAAGGTCCTCTTGCAGCAATAACGCATTGATCTAGTTGTCGCGGTAATACAGAGGATGTAAGCTTGGAAAAACTCACCACAGGAACACAACCACGCTCTCCCTCTTCCATGGTCATTTTCCTTTCACCTTTTCTTCTACCTTTCGTTGCCGCCACAACCACCAAAGAACCCGTTTTTCGTTTTAGTTTTTCTCATTCTCAGATCTGGTTTCAGATTTGTGGTGTTGCAAGGTTGAAGCTTCGAAGAGGGAAAAAGGTTTATAGGGTGTTGGCAATAGTGAACCTAGATCTAGTTTTCAAATCTGGTTTCTTTGAACATTTAATGAAGAAATTAGAAGCAAGCAGTAATCAGTTGAAAGCATCATAAGCAGAAATCGAAAGCAAGTAGTAATTGGTCTAATTTTGGTGTTTGATAAGCATAAATCGGAAGCAAACAGTAATCATGAGGGTATTTTTGTCATTTACACATTTTTAGATGGAATGGATTTCAATTCCATCAGTTTTAGAAAGGAATGGTGAAATCCTCAAATGATGGAATCTTTGGAATTCAATTCCATTCCATGGGTAACCAGGCATTAGAATAGAATTTGGTCAACGAAATTGACCATTCCAATTCCACCAGATTCTGGCGGATTCCGACGAACCAAACGACTCCTTAGTGTTTACTCCTAAGAATTCCTGTTAGGATCCAAGCGCTTACCACTATGCCAAAAGCAATTGCTGGTGGAGAAGGTGCAACTTATTTTCTTATAGCGTAGCAGCCAGCGCCACGTTTCGATTTAGGAAGATGCTGGTCAATGACCCAACAATCCCCCCACAGCATCTGCCAGCACTAACAAGATCTTCTCTAGAAGTCATTGGGTGCATAGCATGCCTTTCGCATTATTATGTACACCATGGGATTCGAACTTGTGACCTGCTTTGATACCACATGTTAGGATCTAAGCGATTACCACTACGCCAAAAGCAATTGATGGTGGAGAAGGCACAACTTATTTCCTTATAGCGTAGCAGCCAGCGCCACGTTTCGATTTAGAAAGATGCTAGTCAATGACCCAACAGTTCCACCTCAAAGTTAATGAATGTTAGTATCTGTCCATCATCTAGGTAAGTACCACCTCAAGTCTCTCATTTGACCTTTAGTGTCCACGTACTAATATTCAAGTTAGGAACAAATATAAATACTTGATATTACAAAGTATACACCCTCATGCATAAGGGTCATAGTAGCACATCACCAAGATGGAATTTAACAACATAAGGAATACATATAAATCCCCAAGTTCTCAAAATTGACATTTCATGGCTACTCTCTATGATCACATATACTCAATGTCTAGATATGTGTTCCTGAAGGTAAAGCAAAAGTTGTGCAAGTTGATCTAAAACATCCAAGTACAATATGGACTTTTTTATTTGTCAAGCCACTTTTGTGATAGTGAAAAAGATTTGAGTCGACATTTGAAGCCAATACACCCAAGAAATGAGAACCCTTTGGTTTCATAGTTCAAAGCCTTTAAAGCCAAGAGGTTCACCCAATATTGGCCCATTTTTCCATTTAGATCAAAAATCCCCAAAATCAACATTTTGCCATACTTGTTGAAATGATTAAGAATAAAGCTTGTAAATGTTTTAAGAAATAAATTTTGCATGTAAATAGTTTGGTAAAAGTAGTATGAACTCACTTTTCGAGGTTTTGTAAAAAAAACCCAACAAATCCAACCAAAACCCTAGAAAACACTTAGACTCTAGATCTTGAGTAGACTATTTGAAACTTGCTCCACAAGATTCCCTAGCCTTAAGTGTTGCTTTATTCCTAGAAAATTAGTAATAAATGAACTTGGTTTGACTTAAATAGTGGGAGAGAAAGAGATGGGAAGAAATGAGGAAGAATGGTGAAAATGAGACAAAAAGGTCAAATATCAGGATTTATGCACCCCAATAGTAGCCTGCTGTTACCTTGCCCATGACTTCAGGCCATGAGCCAAGTTGCATTCTTTACTGTACCCAAGTGCAAACAGTGAGTTACACAACCTGGGTGGCGACCTAGGTCATGTGATAGGTCGCAGGAAGCCCTATTTTACACGATTTTCTCCATTTTTCAAAATTTTCACACACAGGAAACTCCAAGTCATTTTGATTAATAAAGAAAATAAAATCAACTACAAAAGTGGGATCTAAAGACCCAAAGGAAGTACGAAATTCAGAGTGTTATATAAACAATGATCTATAGTTTCCACCGCGTCTTCTCATCTCGGAC